TGATTGATTAAAGAGGAAACTAGAGGAAACGACTCGGGTGGTTTAGCCAATGATTAAGGCATTTACATCGCCAGGATAGACAGAGGAACCAATAGTAGATACGGTTTCATCGAGATGGTACACATTCGAATTTACCATATAAAGGGTTATGCAAAAAATGAAGGTCTTTAAACGGCGATTCCAATGGAAACTAATTATGTGAATACAAACAAAGCGAACAGCGGCCACTTTATACTGCATACATGTTTGTTATAACTCTATCTAGGTACAACAATTTTAAAGAGTTAAAACAATCTACAGTGTCTAAGCACAGGGTCGAAAGCAGTACTTAATATTCATACTAAAACAAAAAGAGGAACCGAAGAAATATTAATATCGAAGAAAAACTATGAACCACCACAATAACTGTACTTGAATCTAGGTGCTACGATAGCATATCCTGCATCGAATTTTGGACACGTCAGAATGGTTCCTGTCAAAGCCATACGACTGTTTTTGCCATCAACGATCTAAACACCCGATCAAGATATCTTCAAGGGTAGCAGACACTGAAATCAGGTCATAATGAAGACCGTAAAACTCATTCAGTGTATAGTGAAGCCTCTTCGGTTTCACTCTTTATTGTACTACACAAAAGTACAAAGTGATAGTTTAGTGTCTAGTATAGAGTTTAACAACCTAAAGATAGACGGACTTAACATCGTCAAGTGTAGTTCAGATGTTATCAGGTGCGACGTTCTACACTTGCCCTAGTTGATTCGTCCAGCATTAAACAATTGCGATGACAAGGTAGTAACGACAAACTGTGTTGAAAGGTATGGCCATGGTTCTCACAACTATAGCGTCATAGCAGTTTTGGTTTACAAAACAGAGTGTAAAAGTGGTGAACTAGAGCCTTAGTCTACCAGTTATGGTGTGGATATATGTTGGTTGTAATATCTCTATACTAAAAATTGATAATGTAAATTGCCTTTGTTAGATAGCTTGGTTATGCTACATGACAATATGCACTCCTGTACAACACTGTAAAGAGCAGTGGTAATGAGTTTGTATGGTAAGACTGTCGAAGAAGAATTACATTTTGTATTGAATTGTAAAGTAGAATTATTGTAACTTATACTTTCTAGGTCGCATCATCTCTCGTGCGGTATGCAGAAGTGCAGTATAGTCAGCTATTTTGAGTCAATTGCACTAGTCATTAGTTATTAAGCTTCAGCAAATAATAATCGAAATGTGTGTTGCACAAGAGAGACGTATCGTCATAAACCGATCTGTCCTTATTCCCTTCATGACACCTACCCACACCGTGACACAGGGTGACTCACAACCTCTCGCCCCCTCTCTGTATACATACCTCACACATACCCGTGTATTACCACAAGTACCCCTCATTTATCCTCGCCTACCTACAGTATACAAACAGTTACTCAGATTTTGTCAACATTGAGGGATACTCTACACAGCAAATTCTTGACCTTTAAGTGAATGCTAATACGTATCAGTGTACGGCACGAATAATCCCGTGTCCTTACTGTTAATACATCAGACACGACAAAGGTTAAAACAGTACGTATGCATATGCTAATAGTAAAACGCATACCAGAGCACCAACACAAAAATGTAAGGTCGATACGAACAGACAAAACATGTATACGGGGAAACACAAATATAAGGCTGAACCATGAACTGGATGAAGCAATTTAGATCACTGACAAAAACCTCATATAAAAAAGTCAAATACATGCTTGTATTTAAAATGTCAAAACATGCTATGATGTTTTTTCAAAAAATACCATTTGAGACCTGTATTCTTACAATAAATAACAATTTGGTTCTTCTGATCAGTCAGTTTAGCAGAATAGGGTCAATGAAATTACAAGGAAAGATTGATAGCTCAGTGATACACCAGGGGCAATGAAATTGAAAAGAAAGTTTCACGGAACTGTGTCCCATACATAGAGGAGAAAGGGAACATAGTAAAAGTACTACTTTATCGACATCAACTGGTATTTAGGCACATGACAGAAAATGTAATGTTTGTACTTTAATTCAACAAACTTAAGAGATATAATGTATCCCCTAGTCTGGTAAGAAACCTGTATACACGACGTTTCTTGTACTTCAATGACCCTATTCTGCTAAACGCATTGATCAGTTTTATTTGATATATTGTAAGAATAAATGTCTTAAAATAGTATTTTGTTTAAAACATTATGCTATGTTTTGACATTTTAAATACAACCATGTATTTGATATTTTAGATGAGGTCATTGGCAGTGATCTATATTTCGTCATCTCTACATTGTAATACCACACTACTGAGGTATGGAAATGCAGTAAGGAAACTATTCCTAAACCACAAGCAAGAGCAAAACCGAAACTCAATGCTGATACAAATAAACAAAAGGAACACACGAGAAAAACCACAAGAAAAAAATCGTTACAAAAAGTAAAGAAGTTGGAACCTCAAGACCAGAACAGGTATGAGCTTATTGTATCACCTACTATCATGAGCAAAAATTTACTTCATAAAGCCGGAATCTAAAGTTGCCAGCAATTGAGAAAAGGAATCAAGGAGGTACCAACACTAATAAAAAAACACTTACAAACAACCGGAAGAGAAAATATTGTGCTTGAGAGTTTATAACAGCATGCACCAATTTTATGACACTACGATAAGTGTTGTACACCGGGTGTATGAATCCTTTTCCTCTTAGGGAGGCATATCTAACCCTTATCAGCAAGACGTACATCCGGCCGAAATGTTGACCATTCCCCAGTAGATAAGGGAATTGACACTCCTACAACCCCATGATAACACATTAATCTTTATTCAAGGTATAATTTAAGGCTGTAAATCATTAAATGGTACGATACTGATTTCGATAAAATCAGTTGACCAAGTAGTCCTTGAGGAGGCACGTCTAACATTATATGATCAGAATACAAGACGCCATGCAGCCATAAGAGTTTTGCTTTGTAGCCAGTTAAAGATGGAATTGATTAGCTAATCGAACTGTACCGTCAAATTAGGGCAAAACTATTGAACTGGGATTGCCTGTACATGCGCTCCTCTATAATGCAAACAGTTTTTGTTTTTGAAAATTCATTCTTTTTATATTCCACGTTTCACTAACAGATAACGCGGCATAAAACGCACTGCAATTCACTGTTACCTAGAAAATTGACGCTTGCCTGCATCATAATCAACGTACACATTCCCTCTCGAAATTACTATTTTCCATTTGTAGAATTGAAACTAGTGTACTTTGTATTTTTTTTCTAGTTTCCTATTAAGAGTCAAAGTTATGTGATTTCTGTTTCACACGAATACGCGGTTACCTCAGAAAAGACGCGCCACCATGCACGATTACCTGACGGAGTATTGAATTCCAGGTTTTTTGGCGACCTCAATTGAAGCCATTGCCAGCGGCGTTTACTAGTTGCAGGCACGCTAATTATACTGGGTATTTACTTGCAAGTCTTATTTATATTTTAAGGTAAACTTTATCAATCGATGTTCCTTTCTTTATCGACTATATTCTTTAAGAATCAATTAAATGGGCTGGTATAGACTGTTCGTCTTTAACGTTTGCCGTGGAATCAAGGCAACTAACTTGTTCGCTATGACCACTGTAAAATCAGAGATGCAAATGAAAACACTTACAACCCGAAGTAGAGAAAAGACATCACTCCTGAGTGCTGCAGTAAGTATAGTAAACCAATTTCAATATGTCTGACTCTGATTCGACCCTGCCTTGGGACACAGGAGAATAACTATAGTTAATGTCTCTAAACCTACAGGGTTAGATTATAGAAAAGAGTAACATGCTGAGGACACACGTTTGCCAGAATCGCCTGTCAGTTCTGTAGGAGTTACTTGCTGTTTCTGAAGGTTTTATATAGAAAATATAACAACAACCAGCTTGCTATTTTTCAGGTTCTAAATTGAATATTGTGTGTCGTTTATAGTTACGTTTAATCGCTTTCAAACATTATTCAGACAGACTATACATTTCTTTATGAAAATGTTGTAGACTCTTTTGACGATTAATATACCAGAATATTAACCACAGGTAGTAAATATATGTGTGTGTGCTGGTAAAGAACATCTTTAGTTATTTTGTAGATGGTTAAGATAACGATACACTGCCATCCCTATGTTCCTATAAAAGACTTCAATTTTAAATACGGTAGATGCTAAATTGGGGATCTGTAGGGGTGGAAGGTTATCGTTTAACAAATCTGCTCTGTCACGGCCTTCTCCAAATACAGATTACCTTGAGTTTAATTATGGGTCTACATCGTCGAATCTGGAATAGTGATAAACTACCAGACAATAGGTCACCTGAGAATACACACAAACTTGTTTTTATATCAGTCCTCAAGTTGTGACATTTTTGCAATTTGAATGCTTGGGTATCAAGCTCTATTGTGACAGAGATTTTTTTAGTTTTTTCAGAACGTTGCACTTTCCTATTCTATAATTAGAAACGGATTCTTATTTACACAACTTTCAGTTCCAATGTATATCATTTCCCTGTAAGGATCAAATAACTATGTCATGTTTGGCTTATTTTGATAGTATGTTATATAATAGCTGACACAAGCGGTTCACAATACCGATATACAGACGACACGCATTTGTGTAAGCTGCATCTGAAACGTATTTCAGCGTCGCAGAAGAATGTTTTGTTTGTATACGAACATACCAAAACACCTGTAGTATTTTAGTATTTACGAGATGTTGTACCATAAAAACCGTTAAAATGTGTTTAGCTTCATTATGAGAAAATGTCACCTGTACGTGCTATTTATTGTTGACATCAACTAGATATCAACAACTATATATCGTCAGGTATATTAAAGTACAAATAAAGAATTCTGTTTTGGTATAAAAAGAGAAACGAAGAATTAATTTGTCCATATATTCCGTTGTATATAGAGTGTCTCCAGACTAACGAGGTTCAGTAATGCTACATCAGTATTCGAGTACTTACCTTCTCGATATCACGGATCTAACTGAGTTCCATTTATCTTTTAGATCATCTAACATCTGTTGCAGCACCTCCCTCTCTGGATCAGACTTGGTGCACCTGTCCTTGAGGTTCCGACCAAGTCTAGTGGCGGAGTAGAAGGTCGTGTGTTTACCGGCGAGCTCGTGTTGGAACCGCTGTAGACAGAGAGATACATTAAATGATTAGTACATTGTATATTACATACACTTTGCATGATAAAGTGTTGGATTAATAATCGATTAGTAGAAATAAATGTTTAAGTAGATTATATTTTACGAAAGCTACATTATTTGGTGTAGATATAGTAATAACTAATATAATATAGTAAATCTGTGAATGATGATACAAATACTTCATGGTATAATGTGTGACAGGCACATTGTATGACTTATACATTATTATGGGTGCATTGTATGAAATAATACATATGTACGAGTTATATCTCCTTGTTTTATGATATGAACATTCGACTTAATACAAAGCATTTGCAGGATGTAATAACACAGCAACAAAACAGACAAAACACATAGGTGCATCACAGGATAAAAACACTGAGTAAAGATAACAGGAGATATAAACATTTATGTAAATGTTTCAATATTCAGGTAGATATGATACAAAGGTATCTGTGTTTAATAAATATTGTTACAACGCACGATCTATCTAGTGTAGTATTCATAGTTTAAGAAAATAACAGTGTTTTACAAAAATATTGATAATCCAAGCAGAAAATATGCACATCCTTTTCCTAAAACAACAGAGACAGCACATATTACCAATCCTACTACGTCCTAGAACTGACATCATCTGCTTGATGCTACTTATATGATAACGTTTGTGAAACTATAGCAAATAGTTAAACGAAATGAACACTAATACATATAATCCTGAGGGCTATCCATCCTCAGCAGTCGATATGACACATCTGTGACCACACATCTGTTACATAAAAATAATTTTGATCCTCATTGCAAAACTAACCTACACACAAACGTCAATGTTGATCGTCCGACAAACACATATTAACCTTCCTTGTAGAAGGTATATCACGTGACAGAACAAACAATATGACTAGTATATCCTGATATACATAATACAGCGAATTTGTTTAAATTGGAAAATCTTCAATATAATTTTGTTGACCTGATTTGTAAGTTGTGTGAGTATTCGAAACACGTTCCGGTTTGTTTATTAATAATATTTTGCATGATTTAAAAGTCTTCATAAGCTTGTTTGCACATGAATATTATTCAATTTTAACCTAGATACAATTAATTAAAGCACTGAAATATATATTAAGATATTCTAAAATGCATACCATTTGTTGTTCGTTCTGCATCAATGAGACCACGTGTTGCCAGCCGGGGAGTATTATGTTAAATTGATGATATAAACTAATAGAATATATAACATTACCTTACACGAGTCTATTATTTGTACAAAATGTTGTGACTAAAACGTCTGATGTAGTCACTGAGGCATGGCTGATATGAATATATTACAGAGTACAGGAAACGTCACAACTAAAAAATGCACATGGAATTAGGAACTTTTACTGTCAACGGAAACATACCTTATTTAGAGGACATTCAGTACACGAGAGGAAAATGTGTTTCATTACACCACATTATGTAAACTGCTTCGTTAGACAATATCAACAATTGTAATATCTAGGATTGCTCATTTCAAGAACACATGTTTTCTAATCAAAATCGCTAAACAAAATCATATCATCTAATAACAATAAAAAAGACATCTTATCAGAGTTGGATAGGGTGACACGATTTTAATGACTTTTCATTACTATGTTGAAAAATATATTCAACGTGAGAATACGTATAGACCGTATGCGTGTGGTAAACGTTAATATTTGAGGTTTTCCCTTTTTTGTTCGTGTCTTGTCAGTTCTTGTGGTTATCATATCTTAGCGAATTAAATTGCTGACTTTCTGCTTATTTGCAGAGACTGAGGTATAAATACATGCATATTTGTTATTTAACATATTTTATAATAGAACAGAAACACACCATGTCGTTTGCTTGTACAGTCCCTTGAAGTATGCATGCATAACTGACGAGACTAGTTGTACCATTTAGTATGCTACACGTACTAGACTCAAGGTCACACATGCTCGTCTGATGCTCGTCTGTCGTGGTGTCAGTACAGGTAACATAGGTGATTAATTACAGGTAAGACATCATACGTGAAGGTACGTATATGGTACACATGGGACTCGCTAAGGAGGATACAGTCTTATCTCACACAAAAGGTCTCACCATAAAAAAACACCCTCAGATGAGCAGATCGTTTTAAGATAATTGTGTTGTGATGCAATATATCATGCGAGGTGACTTTACCATAACTTTAAGAAGTTCAAATTTAATATCACCATAAATAATAATTAATTTATACAAATACCGTAGCTGACATCTGTCATCAATAATCGAGTACCTCTAATTATAATTGCAAATATGACTAAACTGATGACGTGATACGTAAAGCACACTAACTTGACAAACAAACAAGTTTATGTAAATGACTGTTATGAGACAACAGACCCCCTTATATGACTAGTTTCATTTATATATTCAATATTACAATAAAATATATATAATATCTGCAATAGAAGTATGGTAAAGTTGAAAGGATATAATGCTTCTAGAGTAAGTCCACGTTGCTAAATTCCATATTAACACACCTAAAATTCATGTAATAAGATCTTTTTCTTGCGACAAGGAACATTTTCAACTATTTTGCTGTAAGCAAACGTGTTGATTTTTCCATACAAAAGAAAATATGCGCTCAGGTAACACTTAACTTCCCTGACATCTATTACTAAAACACAAACCGACGATGGTGCATTTTTTAAACTTGAATATGTAGAATTATTATACCTTATGCTTAAGTAAAGTTTGAAATCTACATAAAAAGGAAACAACTGTTTACATCTGCCGATGAATCATCGTTTATAAGGAACATATACCTACTTCAAACAAGGGGAATAAATAGAAACCAAACGATGTCTATTTACAATGTAGGTCAATGAGATACAGGTGGTATTCCTTGGCAATTAGGCATGAAAAAATCTCGCCTTAACCCAACCACACCTGCTAAAGAAATACATAACTTACCTGTGTATTTAGGATCCGTTCGATAATTGCAAAATATCACAGATGTTCGAATCAGGTAAGGGATTTTAAATCACACTGGGGTAATCCAGGTTATAAGTAAACTCCGTCAACTGGTGTAAAAATAATTCATGATAAAGATATAACCGGGGTCCGTCTTGCATTCCGTCAGAGCCATGAACACACCTACGTTAGTTTACCTGTAGAAAGTTTGTCATCAACCAATCGTATTGCGTGTTCAACGAAGCGTGGACTTCTCTTCCACACCAGTGAACCTCCGGGGTTTAAATCTTATCTGATGCACTACGATCAACACAAACCATGAAAACACCAAACACAGTAAAGATTATAAACGAAAAAGATATTTTTCAACTTATCTCTATTGTTGAAAGTAAGGTATGCGTGACAGGAAGTTTGAACCAGCCGGACGCTATTGTCCAAGCAGTATAGGATAGGACGCCCAATGAGAAAGGCCAATATTGAAGGGAGAGATGACCGTATAATGTCAACATATACCCTTGCCTGAGGCTTTGTAAAACTGTTAGCTTGACACCAGTCGTCCTGGAAACCACTTCATAAATTTAACAATAATGTCTCGTAATAATCAAGAGAAACGCAATATTACTTAATGAAACACATGGCATGGATAATAAACAGGTTTCTTCAGATAATTATTTCCTTCCAAATAGCACAATAGGGCGTCAGGCGTAACAATGGTTAAGGTGACAAAACTTTTATTGTGAAAGTTTGCAACAAACATAGAGATTTATATAAGGACACTGTAGAAATGGATTCCTCCTGAGCTTACACGTATCATCCATTAACAAATCGGGGAAGTATTCCATTCAATTCATGAAATGTGTGGAAAGACCCACTGATCTCAATGAAAAGGCCACAAATACCCATTCATTGCATCAAAATGACTCGCCTGATAGATGTACGTGTTGGACGATTGAAATTTAATCCTCTTTCAATTTATTGTGAATATTGATGACTTTGCAAAATGACTTATGTATATTGCATATGAACACAAACCAGTTGTACCCCTAGGTAGATGTCAATAGCCTACTGGCCGCAATGTTAGTGGTCAAGTGTCCGGAAACCCTTATGTATATAAAGGTTGATGGATTAAATCCTAGTCGATTTACGAAACGTCTTAATGTTATTTGTTGGTTATTGAAAAGAGATACACACTTTGCAAAGAAAAAATAATATATATACTTTAATGTACTACTTATTTTAAGCAATTAATAGATATATCCACATATATTTCCTATATGCATATATGAGGGTATATTGTTACTAATAATGTCCACAATACATATGTGTCAATTTACATAAGAATGAAGACCTCCCTCAGTGATAAGTATTATACAACTTACTTATTGGAATGTGCTTATATACACATCGAACTATATATAGGTCTTATTTTCAAAAATTGTATAGAACAACTTCCACAGGAATTGTTTTGTACATCTTATTGAATAGCAAATATATAAAGTAAATTACATATGTATGATCACTTCTTGCATCACAGTTATGAATAGGCTTTGACCTACTTACACAATATATATCAATTTACTAAGGAATATATAAATACCTACTTATTGACATATGGATACATATCTTCTAAAATTCTTCATAAACAAAACGTGTTTAGCAAAACATTCGTTATTATATCACATCTATGGCATCATGAAATTTCATGAAAGCAGTCATCCCCAATAACGTTTGGTACGGTGATAACTGGGCTTCAGGATGAAAATGTTAATCAATATTGGAATGCACAGTTTATCATAACTACAGAGACACAAACATTACTGCAGCTACAATTTACGACATGGGTAAGAGGCTGGAATATTGATTAAAATAACTGTTTAACATTTTTAACATATCGTATTTCCGTTTTGTTTGATGATACTAGGCCAACACATGGTGCGTTAGATGTTGAATAGAATGTTTCAATATATAGAATAAAACAATCGATATGTTCAGCTGGACACATATCAAATGTCCAATGTAGTTAAGGCTATATGCTACCTTCTTACGTAAATCTCTATTCTGAAAGAACTAATATATTTGACAAATTAATTGAGAAATTCCTACATTTATAGCACTGTTAATACACTGCATTTTTAAATTAACGGCAGATCGATAAAGGAATAACTCGAACATATATCACATGTCTGTTAGGAAAGGTAGCTTATATCCTTTAGCACAAAAATAACCTTACTCACTTACACTACACATCTTTTCAGTATATCGTTCGAAAATAACTTTTGTTTTTATGAATACAATATTTAACAAATATGAAGAAAAAGGCAGTGTAATAAAGGCTTAGAGAACCAGTTACAATTACATACATGCTTGTATATATGAATATAAACAATAGATGACCTCCAACAGAAGTTTCTGATATTATCTGAGAAAGACGTAATTCACTTAAACAGGAAAATAACAGGGAAAGGGTGCATACAGATCCCGTGCCAACACAATAACAACAGAAAATAAACGATAACATTTAACTAGTCATCAAGACAAACATATTGATCCCTACACCACATGTATGTATATGGTTACGCAAATATAAACAAATATAACATAAATGAATGGTAAATGATTAACAGTGATAAAAAACATATATTGCGTTTCAGGAGAAAATTCAAACAATGACTCAATAGGAATTTGCAAATTAAAAACTGTGAACAAAGCTAGATGAATAAAACCACGTATAACATCATACAGAACCATAAAAACAAATGATAATGATAACTCAGCAGATTCAAATATCGCAACATTGAATGAAAAAAAACCCGCTGAATGTACAGAGATGAGAATGATGAGACAACAACGTGATGGGAAAAGCACGTTCACCATGTTGGATAAAACACTTAAAATACCTTGTGAAATGCCTCAGCAAAGATTTTCTGGAAATTGCATGCAATTCTGTTAGCATATTTTAAAATTTAGTGTACAATAAAGGTACATGTTTCTATTGGTGTCGCGTGTTGTATTTCATACAATACAATTAGCACTTTGTGTGTGTAGCATGTGTTGATATGAAATACATTACAGTTGTTTTGTTAATTGGTGTAACGTGTTTATATATACTATGTCCACGTGTTCGTATCTAATAGTTCAGTAAGCTGAGAATAAGATTCCCTTGCAGTACCTTACATTACACCAACACATGTGTTTGTTAACACACATGGTGTTCATGGGAAACAAACCAAACTGTATTTCTATCATAGTAAACTAGAAATGCTATTAAGCATAATGTAAATGTTACGTAATTGTAATATCAAGCAGTGGGTAATTTATTAGTTAACGTATAGCGTACAAAATATATAATGCATACATATAGGTAAATATTTAATGCTGAAGTGCAAACATGTTTACACATAATGAGGGCTTTGTTGATATGTGTAATTATTTTCAATGTTTGCCAAATAACGCGATTTGTTTCCTATTTAATGCCAATTTGCCTACGTTGTATTTACTTAACTTCTTGTATTACTATTTCTATGATATTTAACGGATATTATCATTAATAATTATTCATAATTATATATATATATTAATATACTTACAACGAATTTGATGACGGTTGTCTTCCGTTTCATGTAATAACTAAATCCATTCAATCCACAGTAGTAAATATTCCTTTTCTCAAAAGAACTTAATAAATCTCCCTTTTCACAACTTTGGGAAGCCAATGATAGCATTATTGTTACACTTCAACCACACCTACATCAACGCATCGCTAATGATAATACCTTACCTTCAAGTCATCGATGTTCTCTTTCGTAGCTGACCCCTTGGCCACGGGCGACATGAACCTTGCCACTGTCTTTGAACTTTCGTCTAGCCAATCACAAAGACCCTTCCAGGCATCGTAGAACTGGCGAAGACAATGATAGAACAGAAGGTTGAGTGATAATGACAGCGCATGCCCACGGACCAGACTAATAGCCAGAGGTTAGACGACTTCATAACGGTTATAACGGCAGAATATTTCGTCAAGATTTTCAACATGTGTATAATTATTTGAATAATAACAGGTCAACCCCAAAGGTCAAACCGTAATACATAACACACGGACAATTTGATCTTTAAACTACACTACGTCACAAACGGTGTTTGTACGAAGGTAAAATTTGAATATACGCTACGTCACAAACAGTATTTGTACGAAGGTAAAATTTGAATATACACTATGTTTGAATCTATAGTATCGCCCGCATATCAATCCCAATTTTAAACCTGATATCACCGATATGCAATACACACCCTTTTATCCTCCCTATGCGCATGCGTGAGAAGACGCCCTCTTTCGTCAGTTCTTCGAAGGAGTTTCTTCCATCGTAACCGTATGCCCACCAGGAGATTTTTTATGTAAATAGTATCCTGCTTCCGACAGAAATGTTTTAGGTAACTTCCGGTTCTGTCCAATGTCTGCATTCGCTCGGAATGTTGATCTAGTTCCATTTTCATTTTCTGCAAATTGAATTTAAATGCAATATTTGGTCTTTAAACGGAGAATAGTTTGACTAAGCATTGTTTTTCATATTAAATATGTATTTCGCCAAGAAGTGTCCCAAGAAATAATATTATTAAGCCTAGATTTATCCTGTTAAAACGAATAACTTCTTATAATATCTACTTTAATTATATTACAAACATTCATTAACCAACTAGTTTATCCAAATAGCTCATTCATTTGTTTAAAGTTTGAAGGCACGTACACATCCTGTAACATTACGCAATACAATTCCGGATTACCAAGTACACAATAAACAGGACTTGGAAAATCAGAGACATATTCGTGCATGACCTTGATATATATTTTCCGGATTTTTTCACCGTCATATCCTAGTATCTGATGGTAAACATATGTATCATCCTTTTTACTTACATTATGTTCCTCGAGCTGTACCGTGACTCTGTCTACTAGCTTGCTTGGGTATTTAAAGTTACGCATGGCAATTTCTGCGTTGTTCAGCCAATCAGTAAACGTTTTTAGAGTGCCATGGAACTCATCTACGTTTTCCAGATGTTCAGACAATTTCTCCTAAAGCAAATAATGCATTCAATTAATTAATTACTATTTGTGTTATTTTGTATTTTTATTTCGATTTAAGAGTTATCAGAAAAGAAAATTCACCAGTAAACCACTTCTTCACGATTTAAGATTATAACGTGTACATTGTTTTCTAATACACAAGTTAGTGACATGTTAAATTCACGTCACTATATGACATCTATGTCATATTATTACCAAATGGTTGTGGACAATCTTTCATTTTTCGACCAGATTTTTAGATTAATCACTGAATGATCAGTTCTGCGCACCACGTTTGATACTTGTGTTGGTGCCTGTTGTTCATGTGGGACTCAAGGCTATATTACGAAGCTTTACCTTTCGTTTTTGTGCACGGTCTTTAGTATCATTCCATCTGTCCTTGAGCTTCCTCAGACGGTCACAGATTTGTGTCACATCATCAGGATCACACTTCTCGCTCATCTTCTGTCCCTTGGCGATCAGCGCCTGGCTCATTTCATCTTTGTCATTGAACGCTTCGTAACGGGCCTAAAACAGAAGCAGTGACTATCATGTATTGCGACTCATTGGAAAAACAAATACTTTGCTCTTCATCAACAGTATTCATCATATATTAATATCACAACTGTTTCACGCCTGATAGTCAATTGGTCATTTACACTACACATCCTTTCAGTATATCGTTCGAAAATAACTTTTGTTCTTTTGAATACAATATTTAACAAATATGAAGAAAAAGGCAGTGTAATAAACGCTTAGAGAACCAATTACAATTACATACATGATTGTATATATGAATATAAACAATAGACGACCTCCAACAGAAGTTTCTGATATTATCTGAGAAAGACGTAATTCACGTAATATGATATACAATATATATTTGTTCTAAAATGTATCAGGTATAATCATATATTGGTCGCTTTGTATGCAGCTAACCAAGAATTTTAACAACATTTAAGTTCATAAAGCATATATCAATGTTTCATGCAGTTTTCCATTCCTGTTCAATCACGAGCCTTACTACAGGAGAACACCAGTAAACGTGTTTCGCTCGCATTTATAAAAAGTATACTGTTCTTACCAAATAAGCATCATATTGAGTCTTCGATGTCTCCGGAAGTGCACCAAACGGAGACACCGATTTGAGTTCCATTCTAAGGTCGTTAACCCATTGGAGGAGATCGTCGACATCCCCAAGGTATTTCTTTACCTGTGTGCAAGTAGTTATTTAAGTACAGCATCAGATTATTGTAAGAAATGTCAATTCTAGGTTCTGCCATACAAATCGTTTGGCAGCTACATATATATATATAAATATATTACATATATTTAATTCCAAATAAAAATCCAGACAAACTAATAAAGTCCATAAGCATCCTTATCAATATCTTCCACTAAGTTTATTTAATTCTAAACATGACTAACACGTTTTCAAAGCAACATCTTTAATTTAAACTAAAACGACATTTCCAAATGAAACGTTATAAAATTGGTACACTAGTTGTACGCTTACTTGTCTGAGACGCTCTTGGAGCTTTGCTTCTTTGTCTTTGCCGTTTGCCTGCGCGGCTCTCATGAGGTCATTCATGACGTCACGTTTCTCCTTTAATGCTGGGCTGTCCTCTGATTCTTGTGATAGTAACTTGGTTACAGCATTACTTAGGTTTTTGCAGTTGGTCTCCTGGGCTTTCAAGTCACTAAGTTGTAACTGTGTTAAGAGCAGGAGTATTTTAAATTACATGATTGTATTTCCTAAAGTAAAACGTCAAAAAGAAAGATAATTCAATTTTTGGAATAAAGTTACATATATGCACTTGTTATTTTACATCCTCACAGTAACTAAGGAGATAAGACGAATGGCTATTATGACACCAACGTTATGAAGGAGTAGTTTGAGAAGAAAAAACCCAAAAGATATCTAAAGTGTTTTTCCACTTTTTCAGATAAAATGTATTAAAATAAAAAAAAAAATGAAATAACAGTTTTTGCACTTATAAGAATGTTAAATATTGATTGAAATAAACGATATTTGAACCACATGGCCAATGACGAAATCAGCAATAATGATAATAATAATACGAGGTTCTTATATACCGCTTTATCAAAACATAGTTAGTAAGTCGTCTCAAAGCGGTTCACAAATTATTATCCATGGAATTGGACCTTTGCAACCAGCCAATAGCTTTCTCAACTCTCTGGGGAGCATACAGCCGGTGCTACCATTTAGGCGCTCACAGCTAGCATTCAACAATTCAAGCACTGCTCAACAACGTACTCATTTACAGCCTAGTAGACTGGAACAAGCGGAGAAAAGTATCTTGTTCAACGATACAACACAGTGCCGTGACGTGACTCGAACCCGCAACCCTTGGGTCACGTGCCCGGCGTCCTACCACTAAACTACAGAGCCTCCGAAAGCAGTTCAGGAATACACACTAATCTTATAATTATTTTTCATCATTTCCACTTCAGTTTATATTATTAAGAACACATGTATCTTCCAATTATATTTTACATCCTCCATTCAGTTTTTATCATTTAATTTATTCAATCTACCTGTAATTTTTTCATGTGTGTCTCAAGACATTTCGGATCGCCTGAAACATCATCAAAGGTAGCCAGGTCTTCATGAACATGCGTGAGACAGTCGATAGCTTCATCCATGCCTTCCTCTATTTCTCCTAACTTCAACTGCATAGCTTTCAACTTCGCCTGAAATTTGAATTTTTCCTCAACATTCCAAAGGCTGTTATAGTATAAAATGTAATTAAACGGATCATGAAGATCAATAAAATAGATAATCATTACATTAAATATCACAGTGAAGTTAAGGCAATTGCAAACTAACATGTTCATATGGACTCAATTGTGTAGTGTTTTCAATGAAATTTTATTATCAACAACTCATTTATAGACATACATACATGTAAAAATAATTCAAGCATTTTTTTTTCTTTAATCGATAATTTCATTTTCAAATGCTGTAATATTCTGCAAATGTCTTTTAAGACGGACGATAAATGTTTATACCTCTCTATCCGATATCGTTTTAAGAACCGCGTTCCATCGACCATTTACATCATCTACTGGTCTATGTAGAGACTCTGCTGCTATCGGTGACATGTCCTTCAGGGTAGATAACTCTTGATTCAACTGCTGCATGTCAACCACATGCGGATGAATTTGGGATTTCGCACTCTGTGAGCAGGCAGATTGATATTCATTAAACGATACATTTACATCAATAGAATCAACTCTACAAATTAAAAGAGAACCATGGTATAGCGAAATATGTTTGATATAAATAAGTTGGATGAAGCTTGGGAAATAATAATATAATTTTTCTTATTTTGCAGTAGTAATAATAAACAGGAGAAAGGAAGAAATTAATTACAAACTTCCATGAGCTTTATGGTAGAATTAAAGCTTCATTGCGAAAGAGAGAGATAAGCAGAAAATAATGAGAAAATCTGCAAAGCCTTTATTATTCAATATAAGATAGAGACGAAATGCGTATTTGACTGTATCCGATTTTTTTTTTCTGAGCTAAATACTATAAAACACTACTTTCTTCTTACAGCTTCCTGTCTGTTCATACAATAAATAGGTCTGCTATCTGGCGGATTGTGCTAACATTATTTTGTCGAACCTTGTTATAACCGTTTTTTTTTGATAATGAAAATAACATAGTTGCTAATGTTTAACGAGACCAACAAAGGAGTACAACTTTAAATATAGACCTTTAAACTAGTGTATGTAAACGTATTTAGTAATGACGATGTCAAATAATGACAATGCTTTTAGCAGAATAGGTCTTAAATTTCAGTCTGAGATGATTTGAGTCTCACACAAAGAAGTTTTGAATTCGTTATATCAAGGTTCTGAATTCGTTATAACGAGGTTTGAAATCTCGTTATAGCGATGTTTCTGATATATGCATAACTTTTGTAATATCTGGTCTTTAACGAAATACTATAAGTTCGAATCATGCATTTAGGTTCAAATTCTCAAAGGGAGGGGTCATGCAAAAGTCTACTAACTCTATCTGTGCAGATCTATAACCTAAGGCGGTTTAAGGTTTAGGAACTGAAAGAACTAATTACAATGCAATTAATTGAACAAGGCATGCCAATTATTCGAAGTAGGTTTATGATAAGGACAAACATCAACTTATTCCGTCTTTGCGTATTGCAGAGTTATCTTCTCTTGAGAGCAGGTATTGATTGTTACCTCATTTGTTTGGGAGAGGAACGTCATCATTTTTTGAGAAAGCGACGTAATTTTCTCACACAAACCAATGACGTAACAAGCAATACCTGCTCTCAAGAGAAGATACCTCTGCAATACGCAAAGACGGAGTATGCTAGTAAGCTCAAATATTTGTGACATTAAACACAACAACAAACGTGTACAAAACATGTTAAAATTATTGAAAACATTACATATCAAAAACTCTTAGAAATAATGAAAAAGTATCATGACTGCCACGGCAAAAAAAGCAACACTGTTATCTGTTTTACAAGTTACAAGAATAATAAGCCAAAGAAAATGCCGAATAGATCCATCGTTTAAACAGTATTGATAAAAAAATATGTTATGACAGGAAATCACACATAAAATCAAACAGATAGTTGAATAGTATTATAATGGCGACTGAATAGAGAAACACTATCAAACAAAAGCTCGTAAAAATTGTAAGACCCATTTTACTACCAAAATTAGGCAATGTTAGGGAGTACTTCTACCGCCTCACAGGGTTATGAAAGAATATCAAAGCTTTGATTTAATTAAAGCCTTTAAAAGTTTCCACTCTACAAAAATCATTTTGATACTTACAATTTCCTATAAGTAAAATTTTGAATCTTTATTAATAAGACATATCTAAAACGGCTATTCTAGCATGCATAGATATTTTGTGACCGTTCTATCAGTTACAATAACATATATTTTATTATTTAACTAACGTATGGGCCAATGGAAACGATTATTACATATATGTATATATAATATTCGGTTCCATTCATTGATGCTTTCTCATATTCAATATTTGTCAATGAAAAGAAGAAGAATGAAAAAGTGACAAAACTGAAAAAAACGAACTACACATACTAACCCAATGTGTATCATAAAAGCCAGCAAAAACCTGGAATTCCACCAATAACTATATATCACACTGATTTAAGGCATTTATAAGAGTATTCAAGGAACAGTTCTTGTGAGGAAACAACAATTGAATCCTTATACACCGTTATATTCACAGAAGTAATATTTCCGAAATGTTTGCATTATTTTGAATTCATCAACGGAACGAATAATTCAAACCAGGTAATTTTCACAGCTATAGGAATCCCGAAATGACAGATTCAACAGTGAACATTTTTCATTTTTCCACATTCGAAACAGCACTTCGTGAATTATAAACTGTGTATCAATAACTAATTTTATACTAGTACATCATGTACTTCGTATCGTAAAGCTTAGCCAATAGCTAGTATTGGATTGTCATGCCACACATAATTACGAATCAATCAAGGTAAATAAAATGATTCCCCAATCAAATTATTTGTTTACGTGAATTTGTTCCATTCCATTATATTAGTAATAGAAAAATAAGATGTCATGTTGTATATTGTTACACACATGAACAGGCAACTTTTAAGACAGACTTCTATTAATTTTTGTTCAGAATAGTAATGCATAGATATGTATCCATTAACAGACAATGAGACATCGGAATACACAATACTTTTATAAAAAAGCGTGTTTTTTTTTGTGTGGTGAAAAGGTAAAATAGGATACATGGAAAAGTTAACAAAATGACTTGACATAAATATGATTTCATCTTTACAAAGGAAAATATTTATAGAACGGTGATACTACTTCACATGTAATTGTACACTGGATAAACGTTTAAAACTTTATAAAAAATGTATAAAAAAAACCAAAGAATATATATAAAAATAAGACCGACATACCTTGAGTTCATCGATCTGTTGTTTGACAATCTCAGGTTGAGATGAGACAGGCTTCAGAGAGTCAAGCTGATGTTCTGACATCGGAAGCCATGCCGTAACGGACTGTAAGAAAATGTTAGGGGCTGTTACAAGGGGAGACAACTGTGACCATTCTACAGGGCAAGTGTGGTTAGTAATCCTGAAGGTAAGATTATACAGCCTGTTAAACTTCACTATAAAAAAAACTTCTTAACACTAATAATGTGGAGCTACAATGTAACCCAGTTACGTTTGCTCACAGCGTTCCTGACTGAATAGTACAATGGTAAGATAATTTCAAATTAAACATGTAAACTCAGTCCCCAAAACGGACGTCTTCTTCTTTTTTGTCGTACGGGGGCTCCATCAATTTGATGTTTATTCCTTCTTGTGGAAGAACAAGGGCAATTGTGACTGGGTTAAGGAGGCTCGACTATTAACTCATCAAATCAAACCATTGAAGATATTATAGTATTTTCCATGGTTTAAATTATATTGATGGTTTAATGGTTTATATATATGTGCCAACACATTACAACGTCAATGTTCTGCTCTATTGTAATTTGGAAACAGATTTATGTTCAGTTTCTAACAGACATATGTTATTGTAAGGCTACAGATCGTGCAGATATCGTGTCAAAGTTATACCTTTTCCCCACTACATTCTATTTTCTGAAATGTCATTGAAAAAATACTTTTGTGCAGCAATCTAACCACAACTACAACTCACGTCAAGAAGGTTTTGGAATTTGTCTGCGTGAGTGAGGGCGCTCTTAAGGTCGTCTTCACGGTCACGCGCTATATCGTGAACATCGTCAGCGATGTTGTGTATGTCCTCAAGCTGTTTCCGGATCTCAACGAGTCCCGGATCCCCACAAAGACCGCTTAATTTTTCTCCGGACTCTCGACACTCCTCAAGGGACAGTCGGGACTTTCCTAACTCCTTACGGAGGTCCTGCACAGGGATGAAACGATATATTGATAATGCAATACATAAATTGGTTGTCAAAGTATCACGTTAACTTCGGAATGGCAAAGTAAAGAATGCCGATAAGGCCTCCTGTAATGCATGTAGCATCCATTCATATTCATTACTAATATAGCGCATTATTAGTAAGTCTATATATTCCTGTATCAATTGTATTCTATGCACATGAAATACAGTAGATAGACCCTTGTTCAACTTTCCTATGCACTCTATATATGATTGCTAAATTATTAATCTGGGATCGATTTTATTTGTTGTGGTCTATATAAAAGAGTACATATACTTAAAATCTATTATACCTGTAACATTTATAATACATCATTGTGGTACCAAACATATTGACTGTTCTACTCCTGCACTGTGGTATACCGCTATCCATTGCTCTAGGAACACTGTGAATATCGTTCACAATATATATGCCAACCTTTAATTCCTTTTGTTGTTCTTTCACTGTAGCTGGATCGATACCAGGGGGCTCCTGTGACAACAGGTTATCCTTAAGGTCTCGTAGGTTAGACATTGTATCCGCACACACGTCAAAGAAACGGTCCGCTACTTGAGAGGCTTCCATAAGTGCCCTATCTCGTTTTAGAGAGCCATCCCTGATCTGGTTGTTCAGAGTAGCTATCTCTGTCACCTTTTGTTTGAGATCATCACCTACAATGCCAAAATGAATATTGTTATCATTATTAAAAAATGTAGTTTAGGAAGAAAATATACCACAGCATCAATAAATGAACAAAATAAACCACATCGTTGGAAACAGCTGTACTAATATCATACTCAATTCTTCACTCATCGCGTTCATCATTCTTTCAGTTCAATTTATGATAGTTTTCAAAATAGGTGTCTTTTGATAGTATAAGATAAAACGATTTTGAAATATAACGTTGTACGCGAAAAACATCGTGTGACTGCAAAATAATTTACTAACCATCCGCTTGATCGTCCATGCCCTGTGCAAGCATCCTCTTGACAGACTCCTCCACACTGACAAGTGAAGGTTTGAGGCGCTCAAGGTCGGTCATCAACACCTGTTCACAAACGTATGATAACGATTATTCATATTTAAACTGCTTTTATTTTTTTAATGATAGAATAGTATTTTTGGTATGTGGTCACAATTTGAAAAAGGAGGTATCATCCGATGTACCTACTTAAGTAGTTACATTTTATGTTTTTATAACACCTGAACCATAGGCCTTTGTGACGAAATTGTCTCCGTTCTTGATCGAGTGTAATATATCATTTATGACATACATTTGTATATATAATATGATATATAAAATGACCATATGATGTCGGTTTTATGTCTAAAGACTGACAACATACCACTGCCATCTTCGGCCTTTCTTGTTTAGGATGTTATCAAACATCAATTATAACCCCTTAATAATGCTATAATGAATTCAGTTCTGTATGATATTTTTTTTTTTTTAAATATTTCATTCATCTGATCGTAACTAACATATTATGGCTAATTGTAATTGACGATTATCATACCTGGTTTTCCTTCAGTTCATCTTTGAGTTTGTCTGGGTTGGCGGGTATAGGATTAGCGGTACTGATATTTCTGTTGAGGTTCGACAAATCGTCCAGGAGATTGTCTAGTGAGTCAGACACATCCTGGGTCATGAGAGTACGAGACTTGGTCAGTTCCTGCTCCTTCTCTTTCGATAATCCCTTTAGCTTCTCATAACGTCCATTATAGCCGATTAGCTTATTCTGAATCTCCCCAGCATCATCGTCCCCACATAACTCCATCAGCTCCAGGCCAGTGTCGTTCAGATCATCAATGAAGGGTTTGTGGTCATCCACCTTCTGTAGGGAACTCTGTTAGGATAAAGAACAGACGAAGCTGATTTCAAGGTACAATAGAGTAGATACAATTGGCAACTGTGCGTTATGTTTAGGTTCCTCAGAAATAGTGTATAAACAAATATACATATACACATTTAGATATACATGAAATGGTTTTGATTGCTAGGGTTAATTAGCATTGAATTAACCCTCTCTTCTCCCATCCCCTGAACAAGATTGTTGCAAAATGGCATATCAAATAATAATGATAATAATGAAAATATTTATTTTGGGGGTGGGGGTGGGACATGGGAGTAATACAGATAAACAGCACTAACATATTTTTAAACCCCTCATAAAAAAAGCTTTGCAATGCATCCAGTACGCAATGAACACAAAAGTCGCATACTATAAGGATACATTTAATTGTATGGAATTATAGCATAAATCTTATTATTATTCTTATCATATTAGCATCTCTGTGATTCTACATCTTTAATACGATATACCTTGAGAGTATCCAGTTGCTTTCGCACTTGTTCCAGGTTTTCTCCCGGCGTCCCCTGCGATTTGATATCAGCCTCCATTTCGTCCAACCACCCTTGGATTTCTGTTTGGTTCTCGCTGAAGTGTGTAGCCAATGGTAGGGCCGCTTCCAACTGATGCAGCCTTTCAGCACTCAGCTGACACACGATGTCGGCCTGAGTACGAATACTATCTAACCTTGTTTTTATTTCATCCGTTTGTGAGTTTGTCGTTTCACGAAGCATTCTATTGCATTTGTTGATAATGTCCTTCACTGCATTACGTTTTTGATTCAAGTCGTCGTTAAAGGACTAAAATTAAAACAAAATTTAAGTATAATATGATGTAGGACTATTATGTAATATTAAATAAAATATGTAAATATTGTGGTGTTTAGCGGGTAATAGTTAGATGTTAAATGTGAACAGCCCTTATCAAAAAGTGGTCGAGTGGCCAGTGAAAAGCGCTCTCTTCTTTTACGAAGACGGCCAAGGTTCGAATACCCGATCCCCATGAAAAGATGTTGGATTTTATGGTGCGGTGCATTTAACAGAAAGCTTCAAGGATGTGACCATTGTTTGATGCGGTCTGCTGCGTCATCACGCTGCTACGGTGTTGAAACATGTAGGTTGATTTCAAAGCTAATTTTAAATTATTAAATTTTATATTGTTTTAGTGACTATATGATATGCATCATTGACAGATGTTTCAATATGAAAATAAAAACTATAGATTGTTTATAGTAATGTTACGGCGTATGCTTATATTATATACAGGATACTAAGACATGTAAGGGTACATTCAATGCAAAAATAATCTATAAGATTTGTATATTGTACATTTTATCTTATTCATGTTTCCTTTGAATCATCTAAATTTACAGTCATCAATATTTTCTACTGTGCAGCCATATGCATATTTCATCATTATTGCTTTAAGGGAGAAGGCGAACTTTAAGTTTTATAACTTGTGTCTAATCCCTTTTGTATTTTTTTGCAAATATAATATGTTCAAATCAAAATGTTGGGTCACCTGCCCGACCACGTGGGGTTCCACAGGGTTCTCTGGTCATACATTAAGACCTACTCGCGCTAATATTTGGACCAACAAAAGCATATGTAAAATAAGTCAAGTGTAACATCTTAACAAATACCTCTTTCAGTTAGATGAAAATTAATTACATGTAAAATTAATTTACCAACCAACTCATACTTGTTGTATTGACAGCTTACAATGTAAAAAATATATAAATCACATGTCCGTATGACAAAATAAATACACGATTTCATATTTCAATGATTGTGTTCATTAAATGTTAACATCAATGTTGAAGTTGCTGTCCATTAAAACATAGTGTATTGATTAGGTTATTGGAATACATTCTGAAAAAACACTTTTTAATATCCATAAATGCATACTTCAACCAGCAACACAAGCACGCAACCTGAACAATATATCAATTATGAACATCAAAGCTGTCACGACAAAAGAAAAGAATACTGAACGCATTTTCACTGCAGGTTAATTTTCCTTCTGTTCAATATAGAATATATATACATGCATTATTCTACTCACGAGATGGTCTTTCAACTGCACAGTGAGCGTGTCTGGTTCTATGCTGATCGGTTCCGCTGTGTTGATTTCATTTTCAGCCTTGTCTAGGTATTTCAACATGCCGTCTATTTCTGTCAACGCCTTAAATGTAAATAGAAAACAATGACACTCTCTCGTCAACACATAATGACTAAATCAACTATCGTCAACATAAAAACCCGAGAATAACGAAGAAGACACTAAAACAATCCCGGAACACATCATGATTCCTCTGTCTATATCATTTCAATTCATCATACCTAGCATAAAAGAGATGTGCCTTTCATATGTGTTTTATGTGTTGAACTTTGCGAGGGAATTTGGCAGGATAACAATTTATATAGTGCAACTTATCCATTGCAGAAAGTTTTTCAAAGTTTCTAAAATGTGTAATCCTAGTATGAGACCTCTGTTTAAAAAACACCTTACTATTCAAATGATAACACAGCTACAACGAAAAGAATGAAACACAACTAGAAATCTTTTATAAATTAAATTAATGCAAGCCATTTCATTCAATACAAAATTGCAAACGAAAGAATCGGAGTAGGCACATTTATCCACATTGTATATCATGTCTTCCTGTAATTGCATTGATACATATTGTAATCTTATGTGCATTTCATACAATGGTCGTTCCCAGTTATAATGTACCTCTAGCGACACTTGCTGTACGAGGTGCTCGGTGAGTTCGTGCCACTTGCCCTCTACCTCTCCAAGACACTCTTTGAGGGCAAACTGGTCACAAACCCGTTCGTCATCCATCACTCGCTTAGCGGCTGCCCTCAGATTTTCCATGTCAATTTCTCTTTCCCGTTTTTCCTGATACAGTTCATCCACGCGCGCTTTAGTCGCTTTCTGACTCGTGCCCCTATTTCTGGATTTAAGTGATGCAACAGAATCAGTCAACCATCCGTCCATCTGACCAATGTCAGCCTCGAGGTCATTGACCATGCCAACAACATCCTCAAGTTCATGTGTAAAGTGTTCTGCCTTCTCATCTACGTCCATGATTCTGTTGAAGAACATGATAAATATGTGTATGATTAGATAGTTATAAAGCACTATTAATTTCTGACATTTAAACTAAAATCAACAGCTTCCAGGTCATGCCATATAACATTGAAAATACAACCGGTAGAAATTGAAAATGTTTTTCAACTAATCTATCAAAACAAAGAAAAGAGGATTCCTCTGATCCTTTATACATTACAGCTAGTTTGAAATAACAACCATATAACACTATCTATATCTTACCTTTCCGAAAGATCAAACACTGTCTTCTGAGCATCATCTCCATTTGACATATCGCCTGCTTCAGCAGAAAGTCTTTCTAATAATGCCTTATTGCTTTCAATTTCTGCATTCATAAGTCTTTGTTCTTTGAGTTGCTGCGCCATGCGGTCTTTTTCAAGACTGATCTGTTTTTTCTCATTGAGGATATTCTCGGACTCTGTCATCCAATCATAAAGGCCGTCTAGGCGGTTTAGAACATTCTGTTGTTGAGACACTGCAGCATCCAGCTGCTCCTCCTTGCCAGCAATTTCCTTTTGTAACACCTCATGAATCTGTTTGTGATCCTGCACTGACTTTTGCACTTCGTCCGACTTTTTCTTCATGTTCATATCATTCAAACTTTTACACAACTTATCACCCATTTGGGTGATGTCTTTTAGTCGACGTTCCTGGCCAATGAGTTCGGCTTTAAGGTCTTTTAACGTATACAAGTCTTTTGTATCTCTTTCTGGAACTCTTCCAAATTCCTCCTCATTTACACCACGTAACTTATTCTCAATGCCAGGATACATCCCATTTAGTTTATCGTTCAGATCATCAAACGTTTTCTTCATTTTCATTATTGCAGATAATTTATCTAGCTGTTTGGTGCAATCTCTGGAAATATCCTTGTACTTCGCTTCGAGAGCCTCGATTTCGTCATCGATGACGTCATTGTCAGCCTCCTCACTGATTGGTGGTAGCACATTGATTTTCTGTCTGTATGTTTCAGCTTCCCTTTCGAAATCCTGAAAAGGGAACAATTTAACGTTAACATCGAAATTATGATATGGAGGTTTTTCAATAACTTGATACCTCTCCTCGTGTTCCGTTCCACATGTGGGTGTCAGTAAAGAGAAAAGGTGCACAGCATATTTACAGAATCCCATGAAATGATTTGATTAATGGTCATCTGCTTTTCAATAACGATTTTCATAGGAGACAACCGCTTTATCTTATATTGTACTGCAAGTCACGTGTACGTTGAGACATTACTATACACCATTAAAACAATGACTCCTGAATGAGTACAGCAAACATGCTCATATTAGTATTAGTCAAGATGAACTAGCTTAATCATCAATATATTCTGCCTACTGTATTTCACATTTGAATATTATGGGACAGATCATTTCAAACATCAATTCTATCCGTTAGGGCCGACACTGTCTTTAGAGTATATAACGAACTTTATTAGTCCAGACACTTTTCGTTCTATGTTATGTGGCACATATATTATCCATACACTTTCGTTTCTGTATGCATTTGAATTTAAAGTTTTAATTCCACGTTGAGATAAATGAAACAATAATGCGATTTATGTACACCATAGATCTCGTAATAAGGATTGAGAAGTACTGGGTATCAAACTGTCTCTGTATACAGCTCTTCTCAGAGTAATGCAATGTCTCCAGTTTTAGGGACACCGCCTAAAAAGACGTCAGCATGGCCTCCGTTGACACCTACTCTCGGGCGTAATAAGTCCTGACACATGGGGCTATTAGTGGGAGTGTGTGACAATACTATGGTGTCGTTATGTAGATCGTGTCAGCCTACAGGGGAAGTTCCACGCTAGTACACACTTTCAAGTACAAGTCGTTTAGGCTTTGATGTACAGGTTAGTATTGACTGAGTAAACAGTGTATACAGCACTGAAATGTACTCCAACACCAAACGTGTATACGTATCGAGAACTGAACAGTATATCAATAAAAATAAGTCGGTGGGAAATACCCCTTCTCCATTCTACTCTCCATGTTACTGACTGTAAACTAAAAGTATAAATAACTGCCCGATGTATGTTGTACATCGCACCTATATGGTTCTATTATAAACCGAAGCGCCATGTCAAGGGTGAAAGCATCTAGTGTTTTAGTCGGTCGTTAAATCCTATTTTTTCTATGGTTATATAAGTATATGTATGCGATGGTTAAACTGTGAACAGCACTAGAATTTAAACCGAGATCGATACACTCCCGTTTAATCCATTAAAGTGTATTTAACATGTGCATGTATGATAATGAGAAAAAACACCCAGATAATAAAGTACAATACAGATACACAAATGTTAATCAAACAAGTTTTCACAAAACTGTCTAGAACAGGTATAATATGAGTGAATAATGCATATATATATTGTATAGGCCGTTACCTACATCCAGATCAATATGCATTCTTTACAATAAGATACAATACACTATTCTGGCATCACATTGCCCATTACCATCTCTAGGATGTACAAGGCGACACAAAGGAGACGGCATACGATGTGTACAAGCATACTGATGATCTTATATTAGCTTGGCCATATGATAAAGTAGTCAGAAACGTAAAATCCTATGTTTTCTACTAGTGCGAGACAGTTTGAGCTCGATGAAGATATCTTTTTTTGAACCCATTTAATAATGAATGACGTTACCATTTATGCCATATCCCCTCCCCTTAAAAATTCTTGTCTATATTACAAACCCATTTTAATGCAAAAACGTATGAAACTGTAACAAACACTTAAAGTGATCAATGATTAACATTTATCATGTGAGGTGTATTAATTAGTCAGGTTAGTCGATATCGTTAAAAACGTTTAATGGTTTTTGCATGTTTGTATGTATGTAGTAAAATCACTGTTTGCTTACATGCGATCAGATAGTCAACCATGTATTTCGTTCTTAATGTACCAAATAAGTAGAAATGTCAAAAACTCCTATTTAAATCGAGAAACGTTACATTTCATGTAAAAAATGCACGGCAAAAATTGACGGTCACCAAGTCACATGACATGAAAAAGAAGAATAATGACTCTATCTAGAATATGTCACTGTTTAAATGAGAAATATTCTGTTTCGTAAATTGCTATGGAATATGAAAAACACTGACGAAAAATATATAAATCACGCTTTTGCATAATTTTACAATTAATCGGTAGTTGCACGGATAGCTATGCAAAATAGGAAGTCTATTCACAAAGCATTATAATACCATAGTGACGAATATTACCACGACGTGGTGTATCGTGGTGCATCTTAATGATTTACATCAATTTAACATGGTGATATATACAATCTACAATATTACAGCATAGTTGTATACATGTTGGCAGCTTGGTCATTTTCATTACGATAGCATTATGAAGAACATTAAATTAACATCGAGGTCAGAAATTTCTTATATTGATTCGAAATAACTATTTTTAGAAACATAATGTCAATTTTCACTTCGTGACGTCACTTCAACTGTAACGTTCCAATATTCTCTGCCAAATGCATCACTTTTTTCGTGACGATTTGCCTATGCTCCGGCTTGATAAATGATATAAACGTAATAATTTTATATCTATTATAAAAATGATGGACTTTTATTTTTGGTGAATATGTGTTATATGAGCCTGAAAATTGACTTGACCTCGATTTCATCTCGGTTATTATCGCTTTCCCATGTCCATATATCAACATAATCAATTAAAAAAGCTCATTATTGGCACATATTATTGTGCCGTATATGACTTCAGCAGGATGTCACACAACATGTACTTGACGGTACAATAACTAATACATGTTATCGTATATAACCCCTGTAAGGTGAAGTACAGAATGTGAAGTAACTCTCTACCTATTATCATTATATAGTGATGTTCATAACCGTGCCACTGTGGTGTACATATCTAAAGCATGGAGATGTACATTAACGTAATTCTACAGATGATGTCAGCGATAACAGTAAAATCCCATTTACGAACACTCGTCTACTTCATTGCCGATGCCTACATAGCCACTACAGCGAGTGATATTGCCCTGATTTGTAACTGTTTGACGTCAAAGGGTATCCATACACTAGTACACATATCTATAATAATACAGATAAAAAATGCTTGCATATTTCACTTAATTAAAATTTGTAAAATGTTTGCTTTTAGGTAACAATATAGAGATAACGTCAGCTTAATATAACGATATTTTATTAATTTACAGGTGTATACATAATAAAAACCTTTTAAGAAAATCGAAGTGACTTAAAAAGGTTGTGGAATTTCAAATTATTTTTTTGTTTACGTTTAGAGGACACTTATAGAAAAACACCAAGAAGTAATTACCGAAGTGTCAACAAAACACTTTAAAGAAACAAACTGGGGTTTCCAATTATGGGGTTTTAGGATATTAATTGACAGGGGAGGGCAGAAACCACATCACCTTGGTATAGTGTAGTGGATATGGTTGTTTATGCTCAGTATCTATACATAACATATCAGCAATGGAAATGCATATCACTAACAAAAAGTCGTTGAAATTGTACTGATTTTCGGCATAAAAGATGTATTTAAATCTTCAAAAAGATTAACTTGTGTATTACCTTGTGAAAAACAGATATGTTTTTTATAGGGAATGCATAATAGAAATCGTCGTCAGCATAGTTTACGCACATTTAAATGGAAGCAGTCATTATGACAAACTTGTACACTACCTGAAGCAAGCATAGACAACTTGAAACATGGCATTGTTAACCCCACAATCACTTTAAAATCGAACAATCAGTATCTGGTACAAAATGAAGAACTTAACCTGTCATTTCAAATAAACAAACCACAGACTATATTTGACAAGCAAAAGTGTTACATCGCTTTTTTCCCAAACATCGATCTTCGTTGCTACAAGTAGGTAAATCTGGAATCAAACCATCCACACATTTCCTACTATACCAAATACCTGCCTTTGAATTATTTCAAAATGCAGACTGTTGTGTGCTGTAAGCAAACAAATGGGACATACTTAGAGATAGACGTAAACACAACTCAAACATCAAGAATATAAAATAATAATAAAGATCGAGCTTATCATACGGATCCACAGAAGTCTTTGTCTTACATCAAGAATGTTATCGAAGGCGTCCAGGTGTTTTCGAGTACAGAGAGTGACCGGACTTGTTGAGAGGTCCACGCCCATCCAGCGTCCGTGCTCCAGACAGACATTCTCATCTTTACAGGTAACACAGTACTGTGACATTGCGGTCCTCAAATACAACAACATCTGCCATTACAAGTCAATCCCTGTTCACATTTGAAATCCACGCGAATGTAATGGTTCAACGCGACCTAGCCGAGTGTAACGTCCCAGGTTGCAGACACCATAGCGACAATATCGTAAAAAGTGATGAGAGATTATCCACTTTAATATTAACATATATCGATTAAATCCAGGTAATAATGTCCAGCGGGTTTAGTTTAATCCATCTATAGAACAATTAACACATATTGCAGGTCGTATAACCATGTTACACGGTATAGGTTATGAAGTACACTTGGCCTACACAGCTGACAATACACAGTAAATGGTTGTCAATAAAATATGGCAACAAAACCGAGACTCGTTCGCCGTCAAGGTATATCGAACAGCAAGGCAATATTCTATACACTTTGTGTTAACGTCCAAAAATACACATCGAGTAAAAATTCACAGAACTGGTCTTTATCAGTTAATGCCCTTGTGTGTTCAGGAATGAGGATCGGAAATCGATCGCAGAGAAGGGTAGACAAACTAGGGGTATAATATCTACATACAGTGTTAACCCTCAGATAACAGCAAGCTTGATTGTAAATATCAATTCGAAAGCTATGTTGTACGGCGCATGCGCTGATCACAATTGACATCCGTTTTGACATCCATTATATTACCATTATTCATTACGGTCAATGTAGCAGACCTTATAGTAATACAAAGCGTTTAGTCAAGGAAGTATTCATTATAGATAAACATGA